CGTGAAATTCATAACAAACAAGACCCCCCCTCTCTTTCCATCTCTATTTTTCTATCGTTAAATCTTTACCTCTGAAGTAGATAAGTCCACTTGCCGAAATAGTAAGGGTTTTATTGTATATACATGTTAAATATTCCTTTGTCCGCTGTATAATGCTGAATAACGAATTCGACGAAATGCCATAACATTATTCACATGCCTAGATTAATTTAGGTTACTATACGGTGAAGCAAATCGGACTAAAACACCATAGATAGAAGGGTTTTATTGTTTATAATATGATATATGTTATCTATTATCTATTTATATTTGACTGTTTGTTTTTCATTTTTAATTTGTTTACGGCCATACCATTCTGAACGTAATAGTCTGCTGAAAATAAAACAGTTCGAACATTAATCAAATGTTCATCAATTCGCTAAGTAATGTTTTATATTTAGTCTAGAGGAAAAACTGGGAGATGCACATTTTTTGATGCACATGAAATGCAAGATGGACGTTACTTACTGTGACATGGTATCTGTCTCTCACCTTATTCAAAGAGTCTCCAAAGCACATTTGAAATTAATTATTGATTGCAAATTAAACTATTGTTATTTCATAAAATTAATTAATATTTGCGAACTTTTTACGACAAAAACATGAGTTAGTTTGAATTTGGTAATTCTATGTATACTAACATAATCTCTATTAAAGTGAACGCAGTTTTCAGTATAAATTAATCTTATCGTCACATTTTTGAATTTCATTAGTGGGTCACTAATTGTCATTTTCCAATTTCTTAGTGTAGTGTTTTAAAGAAGGCTAAAATTACCGTGTATTTTCATTTCGTATATCTTAAGTAACCATAACGAACACATTAATTGATGCAACTTACTGTCAATTAAATTCTCCTCATGATTAATGACATTTAAATAAAGGAGTCACTTTATTTGTAGACTTTCCAGATCATAAGAAATTCGTTCCACCTGGTGGCTCAGCGGTAAATTTGAGGGCTTTTAACTATTAAAAACCATGTTTTAGTGGGCAGAGCAAACAAGCACAAGAAATTTCATAATATCTAGGAAGCTAAGATTCAAACTTCGCTGGACTGAGCGTGTTCTAGTAGTTAACATGCTGTTAACTACAGTTCTAGTAGTTAACATACCGAAGTAGTTAACATGCTGTTAACTACAGTTCTAGTAGTTAACATACTGTTAACTACAGTTCTAGTAGTTAACATACCGAAGTAGTTAACATACTGTTAACTACAGTTCTAGTAGTTAACATACCGAACTGTGAATGTGAGAGTCCATGGTTCATGATCTGTTGCCACAAAATCACGCTCCCAGTTTGGGGCCCATGAATGCATTATAAGAGTAACGGTCAAATCCGACTATTAAATTAGAGTAGTCCAAGAGTCGGCGGTAGGTGCTTATGACTAGCTGCCATCCCTTTAGTACATAACTTCAAAACTAGGGAACGGCTAGCGAAGATAGAATTTGGGTAAATTTAGGAGAAGTTTTGAAACAAAGAAGCTTTTTGCTACAAATAAGAAATTTAGTGATACTATAGAAGTCATTCCAGTTTCAACCCATAAAATGAATTCTTTAATGATGTTTCCATGTTCATTATGAACGACCGAGAAAGATGTTTCATAGCATGAATATAGTATCTTAATTTTTTTCTAATATGCGCTTACATTTATAATTTGACTATAAAACTTTGAGTTACATTCAATTATGCTTGAGAAAAGGAGAAAGTCAAAGCTCATCAGAATATCTTAAATGTGTGGTTTGACATATTTACACTATAATAATTTTTGAACGAGCAAGATGTGAATACTTGAATAGTCTCAATTCATATTGTTTCAATTTTTACATCTAAGAATAGAAATAATATTGGGCTGTAATTATTAAGATTAGTAAAGGTATTTTTAAAGGATTAAACCATTAGAAAATATACTCATTCATAGTTCTATACTTATCTAAATTACCCCGACTCATCGTTTGTGTTTGAACTGCGAGAAATTACAGAATGAATTCAACTTTATTTCTTCTAGATTCGAAGCTTATGTGCCGAAGGACAATGCCTGGGGAAATCGCTTACCTAATGGTATTTGGACTGGTATGATAGGCATGTTACATCGTAATGTAAGTTAAAACAGCCAGTACTGGAGGAACTATTTATACATTTTTTATTACTGATTTTAACGTATTTAACCTCGTTTAAGCTGAGTTAATTAAAATAAAATGTTTATGAGCTGATGCTCTCTATAATTGTGTTAACGAATTAAACACCGTACGGAGAGCAGTTAAATATTTCCCACACTTTCTAGACACGATCATTTTTAGCTGCGGCATATCGGCTTATAAAATGGCTCTGAGTTTTTGTTCAAGTACTGACTTTTAGTTCATAGCTCCGTCATCTCTTTATCGATTGGAGATCTGATTACAGTTTTGGACTCAGGAGGTCAAACCCTTTCGAATGATGTATTTGAACACGCCCAAGGTCTCATAGCTTAATTTATTCTAATCCTGTCTTAACGAATTTCAGTTTGAGGCAGTGTGGTAGAGATCCTGATGAGTAACAAAATCGAATCGGGTATACGCACGCCCCACTTTTAGTATTGCTGGCGCACAAAAATATGAGTACTAAAAAGGAAAATAAAGGTCTCGTAGATTAATTTACTCTAATCCTACCTAATCCTAATTTAAAGTGCCGCGACTATTGAAGATTCACTTCTTTTTTAAAATAGTTTACCAACTATGATATAAGGAAATGAAATTGAGTTTATTTTTTTACTTGTTTATTCGTAAGAAAAGTAATGAAAATCAGCTCAGCTGCACGTTTTTTCTTCTTTTACCGAGTTCGTTATAGATTTTAAATCGGAGGTGTATAACAAACAACATCGTAAAAGCATTTTGTTTAGTGTCATACAGCTCGCCAGGTAGGCTGGGTAAGCGACAGCCCAAAATGGCTCTGAAATTTTTTAACTTGGAGCGCTAAAGTCCAAATCTCCTTAAGATGGAAGACTAAACTACAATGTTAATGAAAACAAATACTTTTCGAGTTAAACGTTTAAACAACGGGACTAATAAACATAATATTTTCAAGCTTAATTCCTAAACTACATTGATAATAAAGATAATATTTTGAAGCGTAATTCCTAAATTACATTGATAATAAACACAATCGTCTCAAGCCGAAAGTCTAAACTCGAGTGCTAAAGATCAACTCTTCTCGAGCCGAAAGTCTAAACTCGAGTGCTAAAGATCAACTTTTCTCGAGCCGAAAGCCTAAATTCGAGTGCTAAAGATTAATCTTCTCCAGCTGAAAGCCTAAACTAGTGTGCTAAAAATCAACTCTTCTCGAGCTGAAAACCTAAACTAGAGTGCTAAAGCAAACTCTTCTCGAGCTAAAAGCCTAAACTAGAGTGCTAAAGCAAACTCTTCTCGAGCTAAAAGCCTAAACTAGAGTGCTAAAGATCAACTCTTTTCGAACTGAAAACCTAAACTAGAGTGCTAAAGCAAACTCTTCTCGAGCTAAAACTTAAACTAGAATGCTAAAGATCAACTCTTTTCGAACTGAAAACCTAAACTAGAGTGCTAAAGCAAACTCTTCTCGAGCTAAAAACCTAAACTAGAATGCTAAAGATCAACTTTTCTCGAACTGAAAGCCTAAACTAGAGTTCTAAAGATCAACTCTTTTCGAACTGAAAACCTAAACTCTTCTCGAGCTAAAAGCCTAAACTAGAGTGCTAAAGATCGACTCTTCTCGAGCTAAAAGCCCAAATTTGAGTGCTAAAGATCAACTCTTTTCGAGCTGAAAGCCTAAACTCGATCAACTCTTCTCGAGCCGAAAGCTTAAAATCGAATGCTAAAGATCAACTCTTCTCGGGCCGAAAGCTTAAACTAGAGTGCTAAAGATCAACTCTTCTCGAGCCGAAAGCCTAAACTGGAGTGTTAAAGATCAACTCTTCTCGGGCCGAAAGCTTAAACTAGAGTGCTAAAGACCAACTCTTCTCGAGCCGAAAGCCTAAACTGGAGTGCTAAAGATTAACTCTTCTCGAGCCGAAAGCCTAAACTGGAGTGCTAAAGATTAACTCTTCTCTGGCTGAAAGCCTAAACTGGAGTACTAAAGATCAACTCTTCTTAAGCGTTTTAGGCAAATGAAACGTGGTAAAACGCTATGCCATACTTGTTGATGTATTTCTCCCAATCGTATTAGTTAACGCATAACAATTTTTAAACCAAAGGTGATTAAAATAACTCGGATAGCTTATTTCGAGACAAAAGACCCCCCCCCCACCCCACACACACACATACACCCAGTGGTCCAACGGTACGTCTGAGGACTTATAAGACTAGAAACTGGTTTTGATCTCGTGATGGGCACAACAGAAATAACCCATTGTGTAGCTTTGTGCTTAACTACAAATGAAACAAAAAAACACTGAAATTAGCACATAATTTCTCTTTGTTATGTCAGGTTCATATTTTCGTTCAGTGATTTCTACTCCAGTTTCTCATAATGTTGTCAATCCTGTATATCTAGTCGGCTGTTAAACTCATGAAAATATGGAATGTAATATTTATTATTTTTTACAAACACCAAACCACAAGAGAGTGTAATTGCTTTATTTATCAATATTTATTTGAACATTTACGTTACTGTTATATGTTTTGGTAATGTTATGTATGATCCAATTGTTTCTACCCCCTGAAGTTTGTTTTTGTGCACGATATATGTTTATTTCTAGGAAGCAGATATAGCAATAGGCCCGTTCATACCAACCTACGATCGGCACGAGATTTCAGAGTTCTCTACCCCACTCTATATGGCGTCCCTGGCCATATTAACTGGGCAGCTTTCTACAATTAATGATTACTTCGCATTTTTTAGAGTCTTTGAGCGTCAGGTACGTGTTTCTAAATAAAGTCTTTGCATCTTTTATTTTGAATTATAAATAAGATTTGTTTCAGAATTTTGTGAAAAGTTTAATTATCTGCGCAGAGTCGTCCCTATTTTTGAACTGGTAGACTAGAGTTGTTGTTTTTATGCGCAAAGTTGCATTGGGCTATTTGCACTCTGTCCACCGCGCGGAATCGACCCTCGGATTTTAGATTTGTAAGTCCGTAAACTAACCGCTGACCCACCGGGGGGGGGGGGACAAATTGTAGAGTAGGCAGCTAGTCAACATATCCACCGCCAACTCTTGGGCTACTCTTGTTTGAGCTTTGATTTGACCTTATCACTCTTATAGCGCACCCCAAAGCGCAGAGAGCGTTTCTTTTCGGTAACGAGCCGCAAAACACGAATTCTCAGATTCACAGTACGAGCACGTTAACTACTAGGCTACGACCAGCACAAAAATTAAGCAAATTAAGTGTTTAGGTAAATAAATGATTGTTTGTTATAAAGCATTGGCCTATTTTCTGTGTCCACTGCGGGGAATCGAACCCCGTGTCTTAGCGTTTTAAGTTCGTAAACTTACTGGTGTTCCACCGGGGGAACAATAAAATATGTTGCTGATTGCATTTAGAGAAACAAATCAACTCCTATTAAAATTAGGTTAAAACTTGCAACGAAATGTTTTGAAGTCAGCCGTATGTTTTATTCCGTGGCTTATGATGAACTAAATACAACAACATTGCTGAATTTACTTGTTTCTCTAGCAATATATTTGTGGTTTGAAGTTTTATCGAGATTTCGTAACAACATTTACTGAATATCTATTTGTTTCACTAAATATACATTTTGTGGCTTGAGGATGCTTTTTTAAAGATTTTGTGCTAAGAGTTTACACAAAGTTATTCGTTTTAGCAAAAATATCTTTTGTGATTTGGAGGTTTATATAGATTTTGTTACAGAAGTTACAGAATGTATGTATTTCAGATTCATAAGTATAAAAAATATGAAATGGCAAAAACCACAGAAAAGTGTCTCAAGTCAAGTAGGAAAGCTTTCACTGTTTGATTACCTTTTACCTTCATTGCCGAAATTTACAAGTTTAAGTAAAAGTAGGTCACATTTGAAATATACATTAATAAGTAGAGATGGAATTTGATAAATGTTCATGTTGGGGTGTTGGAAATACTTACAGTATTCCATAGATTGTGACTGGTAAATGTTATGAAAAGATAAAAATATGAACCGTTTGTTAGAAATACTGTTGCTAGGTAAGTAGACGTTGCAATGACAAGAAAGTGATAAAATATTTCTTTCGTAAACCATGTAAAGTATTGTACAATTGCTATTAAATTCTGGTCACAAAATAATAAATAAAACATAAGTGAAAGATTTAGTAAGTATAAAAGTTTAGGTACAATATTATATAAGAATCTTAAATTATGATCAGAATTTTGGCTATTAGAAATACAACTGAGTTTAGAAGTGTAATAGTATTACAATTTAATTTGGATTTGGAGAGTTTGAAAGAGTTACATAAGAAATATTTCAAACTTTTATATAGAAGTATATTTATCACTTAATCAGCAACATATTCAAACTTTTTGAAAGTTTTTTTCGGTAAAGCTCCAGTGATGTATTAAATGTTTAGTTATTCGTCCCCTCGTGGATCATGAAATATTTGTTTAAATAACTAAATAACTAAACAGATATACAGTCTCTAAGATTTACTGGTTTCAGAATAAACGACCCAATGGTAAATACGGATGACAGTCAGATCAAACAGATTAAATCAAGGTGTTTTAACATCGTTCTCCTTGACTAATTGTTTTTGCTTTGACCTGGAAATCCTTGATCAAACCAGACGTTTGACCTTGGTAACCGTTGAAAGTAATGAGATAGGCGCTTCGGGTAACATTTGTCCTTATTATTTTTCCGAACAAAGTTGCCGAAGTTGAATTTCTCACGTATCAAATTACAATAAAATTCTAACATTTATTTAAAAATCAGGGGTAAAATGCGTCATTTGTTGATTTTTTACCACAGTTTTATGCGGATTTTGCCCGAACAAACAACAGGTGAATATTACACGAATTTTCAAACAGCTGTTTGTTGGATAATGGTTAATTTACGTTCGTTAATTAAGTGGGTACTTCTCAAAAGGCAAGAATACAGTGAAAAATCTTTATACTTAGATTAACCTCCAAACTCCAAGTAGCTAGACTTAGTGTTCTGTCTCTAAGAAGGTACAATGTAAGTATTTCGCGGAAGGAATTACGATATTTATATGACACGCTATTTATATGACACCTTTAATCCAACTTACCCAAAGATTCTTGTTAGGTTTTCCCTTGCACTTTTTATGAATGGAATTGTCACGAATTTACAATCATTTTTGGCTATTAGACCCCCCCCCCAGTGGCACAGCGGTATGTCTGCGGACTTACAACGCTAGAATCCGGGTTTCGATACCCGTGGTGGGCAGAGCACAGATAGCCCTTTGTGTAGCTTTGTGCTTAACTACAAACAAAAAAGCTATTAGACCATTAAAGAACATTTTGAAAATAATTTCTATAATCACCATTTTGTAAAATTTGTCGGCAGAGGTCTAAAAATAAATAGAGAAAAAAAAAACATGCTTAAGGAAAGTCGTTTTGTCAAAGTCTTGGTTGGCATATTTTATTAAAAATATCATGACTAAGTCCAGCTATTTGTCTCGATTTAGTTAAATAACAAACGTGTTATTCGAGACTTTCAAGCATTTTTGTTCAATAAAACATTTAAGCAATATTTTACAAATTATATACTATTTCAGAAATATCAACTTTATACAGTTGTTTCGGTAAAAATGACGTTTATAGTTAATTGAGAATGTCAAAACTTGCATTCATATATGAAAGTACGAACGCAATATCTTAAATTTACAAACTTGCTGTCCTAAATATATATTATACATAACGAGTATTGTAGGGTTTGGATATGAGTTGCGGTTACCTTCTAACTACTGTACCACAACAACGCCGATTACTGTTTTTAGGGGTAATAATATATATATATACATAAGCTTCAAAGTTAGTTCTACTCATGCGTCTAGCATTTTAAACATAATTTTCGCCAATAACTGTAATTCGGGATGACGGCATAGCTTACTATATAGGACTTAACTTCTTTAACTAGTTACTCGGTTACTAAAACGTTGGGTGGGAAAGTTACTCTCCAACTTAGTTAAGTATGCATGAAAGTCCTAGCTTACGTATTCGTCCCCTAACTTTAACTTTCTATTACAAAACAAGTAATGTTAAAAATTCGTTCGCCTGGTTTTACAGCAATCTGAAAAAAAAAACACAACAGAAATGAATCCATTCACTTTTAATATATATATTTGTTTAACGTGGAATGCGTATGATTGATTTACATTCCTTTTTCACACGAACAAAAACAAGGAAAACATGACTGCAAGTTTTTGAAAAGCAACATTTTTTTTTTGTCAACGAGAGAAAATGTATGGGAATAATTAATCTCAATGATCGTGTATACAACTGTGCGAATGCACGCACGCACGCGCCCGCAAACACACACACATATATATATGCACATGTATGCATATATATATCTTCATGTATACTTACAGTAAAAGAGTTAATATATGTTATACAAAACTAGAATTTCGATTTAATTTAATGTGTGCGCATACTTTAACTCATTCCGAAGTAGCTCATTAATCAAATGTGAAATTAGGGAATCAAATTATTTTGGAGTCAAGCTTTATACGTATGGTGTTTTGAGTTATCTTTTACTCAACACAGTGAACCGATATTTATATAGATTTGGAAGAATATGCAGGATTGATGCAACTAATTTACCGTTCTGAATCATTCAACAGACAAACTGTTTAAGATAATAAAAATAAACATGAAGCCCAATCTATCATTTAATTCACCAGATGTCACTGAGTTCTACCGATTTCGGAGAATTCCATCCTCATCAGTAACCTCGTTCTATGGCAAATCGAAAAAAAAAAAAAGACTGTACTTTTTACAGTGCGGGTTTCCCTGAAACCAGTATAAGTCAATGATAATTGGTGAACTGAATGATAGATTGGGTTTCATATTTATTTTTTTCAGTCATGTTTGTTTGTGAAATGCAAACAGGAACATTTAATGCAATCGAAGCACTAGAAGATCTATTAAATCATAGTTTGAAGAGAATATCTGAATCACTTTGACAAAAGATATAGAATACAGAAATATATGTAAATATAATATTGAACACGTATTTCTTTTTCTCAAATTTTAAAGTACAGCTAACTTCAGTAGTTACAAAAAGTTTCTAATTACATATAATTCTTAAAACATAGTAAATATATTTGTCACAAATTGGCACGTTTCTTTTAAATTAATATGATTATATTTTAAACTGCTCTTTGCTCAATGGTTATTGAGCAACCCTCTATGTGGTTATGAAAATTAATTACGAACAATCTAATAAATCTGCACATTCCTTATTATACTGAATATTGAAATTATGGGTTATTCGTGGGGGGTAAGTTAAAACTTTATTCAGAATTTAAAATATGTAATAGTTATGCTATTAATTTTATTTTGAATTTTGCGCCAAGCTAATCAATCTAACCGTCCCTAATTTAGCAATGATAGATTAGAGGGAAGACAGCTAGTCAACACCACCCACCGCCAACTCTTGGGCTACTCTTTTACCAATTAATAGTAGGATTGATTATTACATTATAACGCTCCCAAGGCTGAAAGGACAAGTATGTCAGGTGGTGGGATACGATTGCGCGACCTGCAGATTTCCAGTCGAGCACCCTCTAACCACTAGTCCATGTCAGGCCGTAGATTACAGGCGCCAAATCTAATTGTTCGAAGAAAACCGTTGTTGGTTGAATTAAAAAAAACAAAAAACTTTAGATTTTGTTAAGATCACAAGTAATTAAATTTAACATATTTTGAAATATTGCTAAGTCACAAAGCCAAGTTATCGAACAAATTA